AGTGGGTTAAAGTGACTAAGAAACTTAAGTCACTTCCGCATGAGTTCAATCCCCACCTGCCCCAGAGGAGATCCACATGGCGAGGCAGACCTCTCCTGACCCTCCTGCTGCTCCCCTCAGCAGTGTTCTTCCTCGATCTGCCTGTTCTGCTCCCCACTCTGTCTATGGTGAATCCTCTCACCCTTCGCATCTCTGGCCTATACTCCAGTTCTGTATGAATAAATAAAAAAAATCTTAAAAAAATTTATGATGTTACAATGCTAAGCAACACTTCTTCCAATAGAGTGTGGAATTTCCTTCAGAAATCTAAAAGGACAGATGGGGAGAGAAAGTAGACTTGAGTGTCTTCCAAGTAAGAAGACTCTAGGAGAGGCAGAATCCTTCCAAAGATAAAACAAATGTAGAAGCAGGTTGGAATACAAACTTCTCTTCGACCATAAATGGGTTGACGCCAAACTTTACTGTTGATCATATTTCATTTCAGGAGTACATTTGTCTTCAGTGTACTATGAAGGTGATGTTGTTTGCCTCCTAGGTTTCTTGAAGAGTGTTGAATGGAGAAAGGAAATGAAAAAGGTACTTGTTGAAAAATATTCAGAAAACTGTAGTCATAATAATTAGTAAATAAAAACTTTAGAATTATACTTTGAGGTTCTTGGTCAAAGACAACCAACAGTGTCTGGAATTTGTGTTTGGATATTGAATATAGAGGGTCATCTTTTCTCCATAAACATTCATCCCTGCATAGATTTTATTCATTGCCATGACTTAAACACTCTAACTCTAGCATAGACTTTTTTCAATTCTATTATTATCTACCCAGCCACACAGTTCACATTTCTATTTGAATGACCTGCATGAGCTGTTACCCAATACTCATCTGTCTCCTTCTCTTAACACACCTTTCTTCAGTCTTTCTGATGCAGCCTTCTCTGGATTTCTTTCTGTTTTATGCAACACTAAATATGCTACCTCATTAGATTAATGCTTGATAGTGTGAATTTAATATATGCAATTAAATATAATACAATATATGATATCCTGAAATATATCCTAGGGAATACTTGAGTAAAAAGTTATTAATAAGATATATTATTAAAGACAGACTTTACCAAGTGATTTGGGGCATGTATTCCCTGTACTGTGAATAAAGAGTTATACCACTAATGTTGATATGTGATACTACTTAATTTGAGGCCCAGAAGGCCTTGAACACTGAAAATTAGGAGCAAACAGATGACTGTTTTTTGTCAACTGAAATGCATTAACCGTTTGATTTTACTAATTCACAGACTTTCATTTCAAAGGATCAACATTTCATATAGACTAAGCAGATGCAAAATGGCTTGATTCATTTTAATTCTCAGTTTACAATTCAGACAAAATGGATTTAGAATATATGCCTTAGGTGTTCTCTGTGTTTCCTTCATTGCATTGGCGGTCACTGCTAAAATGGTGCTGTATCATGTAATCTAAGTAAAGAGTCTCAAATCATTTTAAAAGTATTTTAAATGACATTTTTAAACTATTTAAAGGACATTTTAAAAGTATTTCTTTAATTTTCCAGAAAGAATAAAAGAAAAATACTGGCTAGTTTCACTCATAGCAGGAGCATAAATGGCCAGGGGGAAATAATAATGAATAACTATATACCAGAGACTTTTTATGAGGGCAGAGTGGGAAATGGAATAAAAAAAAAATGGGGGGAGGAAGGTGGAGGTAATGCACTAGACTATGTTGATGGCACATGGGTGATTTGGTGATGGGAAGCCCATGGGAATTACAACTGAGATGGAAAAAGGCACAAAGTGATGTAAAAATATACTAGTATGTTAAAAAATAAAAAACAGTATTTCTTTAGTTTTAAAGTAAACTATAGATCAAATATACATATATATAAATGTATATGCCTTTCAAAGAATTACTGTTATGTTTAACTTAAGTTATAACCAGTCTGGATAGTAATTCTCTGGCAGGACTGAAGAAGTTTTCCTTTTGTTATAGCTATTAGTTGATTTTAAAAGAGGAAATATACTCACCAGTTCATTCGTTCTGCATATAATGGCTTATTTTTTATTCCAAAATTGTACATATAAGGTGTGCTTTTCAGTATGTCAAAGAATATATAACTTTGTTATAAAGTATTACTATCTGAGTAAAGAGATGCAATATGCCATGCTCAGGGAAAATAGTTGTAATTGAAGACTGAAGTTTTTTAACTTAACTGGTCAGTCAAGACCCTGAGAGGCCTTGCATATGCTTTTATATTAAATATTGTCTTAGAAACTTTTGTCCCTTAATGGAAGTTTTATTCTATCAACTGAAGTTCATTCAGCTATGATTCATAACTGGATTGATTTTATGACTAAATTAACCAATGCAGATTTCATTGCCTGATTCTAAAAGTGACGGATATTCAAATCAAATACATACTATATAAACTTTTCTTTTGGTTACAAGAGGAATCATTCAACTTATATTCAAACTTCATAACCTGCTTGTCAAAGTAATAACATTTATATTGACATAAATGTTCAGTAACACACTTAGACTAAAGCATTTAGGAATGAAGTAAAACAGTAAAGGCTGATATATGGCTATTTCATGATATTTTGAAAATATACTTACTTTTTCATCACATTTAATATGAAACAAAGCAAATAAGTTGGTGATTAGATTTATTCAGTTTGTACAGAAAAAAATTATCTTTGTTTATGATGAAAGAAAACTCTAAGGGGGTACTTGGATATTTTCTAATTTAGAGAAGATGAGATGTAGCTTATTAATAAATAAATGTTAACCTTTTTTGATAGCATCCATTCACAAATTTCCACTTTCACACACTTTTCCATTGTTATTTTTCAAAACCATAGACTTCTGACTTTTTCTCCAAACAATAAAATGATGAATATTAATTTTGCTTGTAGATATAGGAAATAGCTATACCCATTAATCAGGTTTTTATTGTTGTTACTCTCCCTCTCTGTGTACCATCATTTTTTGCCCTTTACAATGATTTTTTCCTGGTGAACTCCTAAACAAATTGGATCATTTTCTTAATTTTTTAACCTCACAAAAGAAACTCTGCTATTTGAGGGGTCTTCTTTGACGTTTCAGTCTGAATTAGCTATAGATGTTCACTCCTACGACCTTTCACTTTCCCAGCATAATCACATTTACATGTATTTATGCAATACCTTTAAGAAGCCAGGGCCATGTCAACTTTGTTTACCTCTGTAACCTAGTATCAAGCAAAATTGCTGGCCCACCACACCTACTAAAAACATTTTGATGAACTACTGAATGAAGAGTAACTTTATTTTTTATTTACAGTTATGTTATTTACTTCTTGAGGAGCTCCCGTGTAGGGTCAGATAGCAGTGTCATATACATGACACCATATACAGTTTTTAGTTAGAAATAACTCTAAAAAAGAAACTAAATGACTTGTGTTTCTTGAAAGATAATTGATTTCCAAATATACAGAATGTGTGGACTGACACTTCATGTCTTTGAAAGTTAATAGTGTTTAAAGTCAAAATGGTTTTACTGAAAGGGATAAAGAAGAAAAATTGGATAACTTACCTAAGAATGATATTGGCTGCTACAGCAATCCTATTATAAGAAAAATGATATTTTAAATCTTTCCCTAATCATTTAACTACAAGAATGTCCCTAATACTATCAAAAAGCTTGTCTTATCTTTCAAATACTTTCACATTCTCTCTGAATTTTATAAGAGCATTAAGGCTTTACTATCACTATAATTAGATCTTCTGAAAAAGTACCTCTCATTTTTGTCAATTCCTGATTATTCATGGTGATGGCAGGAAGCTTTAGCATGGATTACTAAAACCCCAGATCAGTTATTGCACATGAAAATTAGATCTAAGTCATTATGTCTGTCAAAAATTTCTCTTGAAGTACAAGGTCATCTTTGAACTTAGCAAATGTTCATTGATGCTTCAGTAAATGCTGTTAAATTTATATAGTGGATTTTGAAAATAAAAAATATATATTTAAAAGTGATTAGTGTGAACCCTAAATATTCAACAAACTGTCAGTTCTGTGGTCCTTAGTTGACCTGTAGTGGACGTTTGGACTTCAATAGAAGTTTGGTTTTATTAATCATTAACAAGAGAGTAAGAAACACTTACCTGACCAGCAACTTAAAAATGTTGCTGGTCAAGTAACATTTCCTTTATGTGATTTGAAATATTTCACTTACAATCTTCATACCATGTCATTTATTCATTCATGTACTCACATTTTATAACATCTTACTTGGTCAAACACTGTGATAAATATTGTTAAAACAAACTTCATTAAGACACATATTTTATACCTTATAGGTTAAGTATTACTTATGTATAGTGTAAGTATTATTTATGCATAGTTTAAGTAATATTGATATTAGAATAGCTGCATGTTGAATCAAAAAAAGTTCTCAAATGGATTAACGTGTAAAATAAACATCTAAATTTAGACTCGTCCTAAAATCAATAAGTGAATGATATACTAGTTAATTCATTCTTCTCCCCATCTAACAAAATTTATGAACTTTTAACACCTACCATGTAGTATTTTTATAAACTCAATAACAAAATTTTTAGCAGTTTCCCATACCATCCTTTAAGCAAATGGAGAATTTGTATTTTTTAACATAATTTGTATTAATAACAGAGTAAATTAAAATTATACCACTGCATCAGTTTTAAATATATATAAGTATTTGCCTTTCATAAATATAATTTCTTATAAGCTCCTGTGGCCTAAAGTCATTAAAATTATATACTTTCCAAAAATATTTAAATACTTAAATATTTGATTATCTGAATGAATAGTATTTATGATTCAGAAGCTTATGAAAGATTTGGAAATTTATGCCAAGATTGTGTTATATGTAATCTGTGTATGCTAGTCAAAATAATGACATTATTCACAAAACAAACCCCACATCTGTTCCAGGGAAAAGCTTAGTCTCTTATTTCTTTTGACAGTGTGCAGACCTGGGTTCTTCAAAGCCTCACCTCACAGCCAGAGCTGCAGCAAATGTCCACCTCACAGTTATACCCATGAGGAAGCTTCAACCTCTTGTGTCTGTGAAAAGGATTATTTCAGGAGGGAGTCTGATCCACCCACAATGGCATGCACAAGTAAGGAAACCCATGAATATTTGGTGATGCTAACTTTCACCAGTTTGAAGAAAGAGCATGATGGAGCCTGTTACAATTTATTACCATTTCCCATAAAACAGGCATAAAGTTTAATCTTCCAAGATAGTTTTTTACCAAACTTTAAACTCCTTGAGTAAGCATTGAAAACTTAGAATTTTTTTTTACTCACTGTCAGAAACATTCAACTATCCTAATTTCACATTCAGCACCACAGATACAAATACATTTTTTTTTCTTTTATTTTGTGATTTATTTTAGTGTTTACTGTAGTGAAACATGATTTTGATAAATCCATTTTCCTGTTCATGGCAAATCATTTCTCTTCTTCTTCCAAGCCAGCCCTCTGATCACATAAACATTCTGTAAATGTGGTCTATTGCCTTGTTCTAATTTGCCTTACTAAGCTGCAAAAGGTCAATGAGAAGGTTACTTATAAAAGAAGAAACACTACAAAAACATAAAGAGCTGAGGATGAGGGGAGAATTTACCAAATCAGGTTTCATAAGAAAATACAAGGGCATTTTATTTTGGTTAGGACTATCAAGCAATTGTCATGTATTTTATTAGTGTGTCCTTTCCTACTATTAATTATGTGATCAGATCACTATATAATTAGAGTAGATGAATACCAAACAATTAATTCCAACATTTGCAGTGAATGTATCCATAATTGTCCATATTTTTCATTGTTTTAGTGCTATTGTTTTTCTTGTGCTTGACATAAATTTCAGAAGAAAACAAATTGACAGATTTGTCTGCTTGATGGCCATACTTTCAGTTTTTCCACAATCATGGTTTCTATAAAATTTTTAAATAATAATAATAACAATAATAATAATAATAATGACAACAAAATGAAAGGAACAAAAATTGACTCTCTCTCCTCATAATATTCAATTTTCATGATCTGTCTTACTATTTTAGATTCCAGTAAGTTACATTATTCTAAAAAATGATAAATATTTTGAAGTATAACATACAGTTACTCTAATAAAAAACCCAAGCTGAAACTTCATATTAATTTGTGTCTAAATTTGACAGTGTCAATGAAGTATATTTCATAAATCTTCAGATAATTGATATTAATTAGCTTTACTAAAGATAATTCTTTTAACACAAGACTGATAAGTTTATAGGTTATGTGGTGATTATTACAAATAATTCCTCTTCAGATGAGTAAATGGCATGATTTTATAGACTTTGGGGAATTTTCATTTTAATATAGAAACTATAAATTATGATAAAATGTGATGTTTTGATTACAATACAGATTAGTCACAGAAAAGGAAGCACAAGTCGTGAAAATTTGACTGGATAAAAGTGTAGTAAATTAGGAAAACTATGCCATGAATTATCTTTTAATTTTTTTAATTTCTAACAGCTTTATTAAGCTTTATTATCTTTTAATTTTTTAAATTTCTAACAGCTTTATTAACAGCTTTATATATCCTCTATACCCAAGTTGTGCTTTTTCTCCTTCTTAGCATGAAAGTGAAACTTCCTTCTTGTAAATTTATTAGGTTTGAGATTACAGGAGAGCCTGAACTCCATTGGCAAGGACTGCTTAAAACTCTATTAGAATTTCAGTCCATAGCAAACTGTATTTTCTCTGTCTCTGGGTGTGTGAATCCTAATATCTGTGTTCAAAAGAATGCTGATTTGTATTCACTTTGCAAAAAGTCTATGGGACTCATGTAGATTTTTCTAAAATATTGATATAATCTGTGACTACTTGTGTTGTTTTTAGTTGCATTCATAATACCATACATGCTATATATGCTTTTCTCAAACAGTTCATTGGATTGTTACTCACATGAAAATCTTTAATTTTGCTCTCATTTTGGATCTTTGGAATTAAAATTGATGGTTTCACCTCCTTTTTTACTATCTTTTTTTTTTCTGTAACACATGCATATATATTATTCAGAAAAAATAAATCTGGAAAACAGTATTTTATAAATCTATAAATAAAAGAAAAACAAATAAAAATCACAGTAATTAAGACTCTGATGTTTAATTTAAAGTTAGTTCTCATAGCACTTAGTTCATTCATTGTAAGTACTGGTGAGACAAGAAAATTTATTTCCTGCATATCACTTTTTTGTCTACTTTAGGGTTCATTGAGTTTGAGTTTTTCTTTTACTTTAAAGAGACCTAAGTGCCTCACTCAAATACTGAGTGGTTGTTAATAGCTTATGCAGAGAAAAAGGAAGAAACCATTTTACAAGGAAGGTGATAAATTTTACTATTAGTAGTTTTATGTGGCAGAGAAAAGCACAGAAATTGATATCTGAGTTGAGTATATTTCAGGTGTAATTTACATTTTCTGTAGAAACAAAACTATGGCATTTTGAATATGAATTATGTTTTCTATATAATGTTCCACTATCAAATAAACTATGTTGTAGTAAAAAATACTAACTGAATTTCCATATTAAATATTTTTTTCTACTTAGAAGTGAATTTTATTTTTAAGTGTGTGAGATTGTAATGTGGAAAAAGTCACAGGGTTCAACAGTAATATCACCAAGGTGGGGGCTGTTTTGTCAAAAAATCATAGGACCCTTTAATTTAAATGACATTTTGTAAATACTGGGAGTTTTCTTATAACTTTTAAATTTATTCCTTATTAATTGTGACTTAATAAATGTTAAGTAGAAACTGATTAGTCTTTGTGTAGACTAGGAAATGCGTTGTAAGTTAACTGAACTATGTTATCCGGAGAAGCTCAATTTATGCTTATGGACTATTCAAATATAAGCTTAGTGTATTCCATACCATGTAAGATATCTAAAACATTTTATTTCCTTTTAGGAAAGTTGAGACAAATGTAAATATATTTTCTCTTTGAGAACATCTCATCATGTAACATTAATAAGTGAATTAAATACCTGAAAAATCAATTGCACATAAAATATTATGCAGGTTTTTTTTTTGGCTTTATTTTACTAGCTTTTTGGATTGCAACAGAATTCAGGAAAAGGTACAATATTCCCCATATATCCTCTATACCCAAGTAATGTATTATCACTGCAATTATACAGAGCAGAGCATTTGTTAGAATTTATATGTAATTAATTTTAGTTCATTTTAGTTATTAGTTTTAAACATAAATTTATACACAATTGGAATTATTACTTGTATATAAATAGGTTCTGTTGATCCTTCAAAATCTGAACACTTTCTTTCTTCCCACTGTAGTGCCTTTGAAAGTTACTTTTAAAATAAATTTTATATTTCCAACAAAGGAAAACTCACTACTTGCAGAACCACAATAGAAAAACAGTATCAAGGTAAAATAAAGTTACTGCAGTTTTACTACAGGTTGGGATCTTGACTATATAAATATTTTTTTAACATATGGATTAGTGATTTATCTGGTAGATATATTTTGTGTTTTGAGCTAAACTAAGGCTACATTTATTTATTGTAGAGTTGTAATACCAGAGCTACAATTAAAAAATGTATTTTCACCTGTGCTCATAGTTTAGTAGATAGCTGGTGTTTATTTGTTAGGTTTTAAAGGCAAGCATCAGTGAGGCTGTAATCTATTCACTTTCCCAGAGGATTTATCTTTGGACTTGGCAAAGGAGTTGCACCTTTTTAAAATATGCAATTTCATGTGACATTTTATTTGCCTAAATTGTTTTATCCATGATTATTTACATATACACTAATTCAAAACACGTGCTTTAACTGAATTAGTGCTATACCAATGCTGAGAGAAATCATAGGGTATAAGCCCCACTTCTCCCTCTGAAAATCTAAATAAAAATTTTTAAAGATTACTGCAAATCAAATCAATGACACCTGTGTCCTCCCTACTTAAATGATTGATTGTCATCCTATTTTTTTCCCTCTCTGGCCAGGGATTTGGGTGGTAAAAGATGCTTAATTTTATTATCTTAAAATATGTTTTTCTCACTTTACTTTGCAAACCAGGACCCCCCTCCGCTCCTCGGAATGCCATCTCAAATGTTAATGAAACTAGTGTCTTTCTGGAATGGATTCCTCCTGCTGACACTGGTGGAAGGAAAGATGTGTCATATTATATTGCATGCAAGAAGTGCAACTCCCATGCAGGTGTGTGTGAGGAGTGTGGCGGTCATGTCAGGTACCTCCCCCAGCAAATCGGCCTGAAAAACACCTCTGTCATGATGGTGGATCTGCTTGCTCATACAAACTATACCTTTGAGATTGAGGCAGTGAATGGAGTGTCCGACTTGAGCCCAGGAGCCCGGCAGTATGTGTCTGTAAATGTAACCACAAATCAAGCAGGTAAGTGTGATGTCCAACAAGTCACATAAGTTAGGTGAACTCTTTGTCAATTTTCTCCAAGACAGAGGGAGAAATTGACTAAGATCTGTGAGAGAACTTCCCCTAAGCCAGAGGGTTAGGACTTAAAGTAGAATGCATCTCAAAATGCTTTGTGGTTTTAAACAAATGAAAGCTAAGGCTTTCTTAGCACACATAGCCATGGGCAGAAAGAAAGAATTAGAATAAGTTTTAATTTATTTTTTTCATTTAAGTGTATTTATTGCTCAGTTATGTTTGAAAAAAATTTGTTTTGAAGTTTTGTAGCATGCAATTTTCACTGTATACATATTTCTCATTTTCTGTTTCATTTCCTTCAAGTTCTTAAAAATTTCATCAATTTACATATTGCAAAATAGGTTTATTTCATTGGGACAGCAGATAAATTTTCTTTGCAGATTGAAATATTAATTTATTATTTATGTTGTAGTAACAGAGGAATCATGATTTTTCTTTGATAAGTTGATTATAAAAATTAAAACAACTAGGACTAATGTGCAACCATTTGAAAATACATCTATGTTCTGTATGAACATCTTGGTATTCTTGAGGAGTAATTTCCAGGAATAGTGGACATGGTTCTGTTTTGGTTATGATTCCCTTATATTTTCTCCTCAAATATTAATATTTTTTAAAATCAACACAGAATCCCTGTTTTTATTTTGTCAAAGTGAAAACCAAAGATAAACTGTAGTTGAATTAATAATTCAACCTATATGTACCAAGAATCATTCAAAGGCTATGAGTGATTTATAACTTGTTTTTTATCAACAACAGGTATCTAATAAGTGAAGATGAACACATCAAAACTCAGAAAGTTATATCTTCCTTCTTTATTCCCTGGCCACAGTTTTCAGTCCAAGGGCCTAATCTTATCACCTCATTAGTATCTCAGATGGACTTTGGTGAAAACACTCTTGCTAGAAGTACTTATAATTAAAAAGGTGTGTGTAACTGAGTTGAATTTGACTTGACATGTATTTTTAGTACACTTTTGTAACTCGTGTATGTCTGGGTTAATTCAAAAATGCTGTTGTTAATCAAGTATTGGCCAAGCAAAACAAAACAAAACATGACTTTGGATACGTCAGGTAAATCAAGTAGTTATCTTTTGATAATGAAATTCATACAGTTGAGCTCACACTTGCTTCTGGCTGATGAAACTGAGACAAACACTTAAAAGTAGCCCAGATGATGTGCAAATTTACTAAAGACTTACTAAGCATTATTTTCAACAACAAATGTTCTTATTTATGTTCAATGATCAATGTATGTCACAATTTATTCACTTTTTATTTGGCTAGAGAAAACATAAACATGGATGTCATTTTCCTCAGTGAATCCTTTATGTTCTCCTTAAATCTTAATTGATGAAAATGCTAAGGATGTAGATGTGGATAAAACAGTGAAAATTAAGTTTGCCTTCAGTATACATTAGGCTGCCTGTAATACTAGGATATGTGAGTCTTCTATCACAGCATTGTGATGTAATTGTATTCAGTAAATGTGAACTGTCTTCTACATCAGAAAAAGACCATTGTTAGCCATGTGCTTCCAGGCCTCTTAAGCAACATCTTTCACCTTACTTGATCTATATATGGTCTTTATATTAATATATTAAAGCACATGGAACAATCACTGTGTTGTATTCCTTTTGAAGAACATTCTCTAGTTTGCATAACTTTCATTTTTTTTGAATGATATAGCTCTGATGAACAAGATAAAAGAAACTGCTGAATTAAAAAAATAAAGTGCTTAATAAAATATGCTATAGTTGTCTTTGACTTGTTGACCTGTGTAGGCTGCAAAGTGTGTTCCAGTGTTAAGAAACAATAACTTTGATTCCGTTGTGCAAGGCAATCTATCATGTAGAAAAAAAATTATTTAGAGCAAATATTTTGTTGACTTTTGGTTGCCACTTTTTCTAACATCTCAGGGTACATATACATACTATAGAATTCTTGCAAACTTACTCAAAAATAAAAAAAAAGTTTTTCTTTTTTTTTTTTTTTAAGATTAATTTATTTATTGATACAGAACTGAGGTACAAGTCAGAGTTGTAGGGGCGGTGAGAGGCTTCACCAGAGACAGAGTGTAGAGCAGAACAGGCTGACTAACAAAGTACACTGCTGAGGGGATCAGCGGGCGGGTCAGGAGAGGTCTGCCACGCCATGTGGATCACCTCAGGAGGGCAGGGATTGAACTCATGCAGAAGTGGCTTTAGCTTCTTAGTGCTCTGCTTTCACCTGCTGCACCACCAGGGAGGACTCTAAAAATAGTTTTTCAATGTCTGACATTGCTGCCCAATTATGTCTTAATGTCCACAAAAATTGCTAACTTCAAGTAACTCCTAAAAAGTCTTAGATTTAATGCAACTTAGACATTTATCAAATATCAGCAATATAGAAATTAGGTTGTATCAATTAGGTTTTTTCTTATGTATACAGGAACTGGGATATAGGCCAGAGGTGCGAGGGTAGAGGATTCACCAGAGCAGAGTAGGATCTAGAACAGACAGATTGAATGAAAAACACTGTTGAGGGGGACAGCAGGTGGGTCAGGAGAGGTCCCCCTGGCCAAGGATTAAACTTGCACTGCAATGTCTGCAGACAGCCTCACAGTGCTAAGCTCTAACCCATTGTACCACCAGGGAGGGCCCACCTTATGTAGTTTTTAGCATTTTTTTCTTTTGTTTCAATTTCCTCTAAGAATCATTTTTTTCTGATAATTATTTCTTAGTTCAAAATTTGCAATTTGCTTTGATGCTTATGTGTGTACAACATTAGTATGAACTGTCAAGATTCAAAATTATAGTCAAGTCAAAGTAAAAAATTATTAATTTTTTCAAGATAAAAAATCTTACATTGAGCTGTGATCTGAAATTGATTAGGTAACTCTAACTGATCAGTCTGTGGAAGGAAACAATGATTTTTTGCTGAGGATACTGATTAAATGTTTAATTTAAGGATACTTACATAGTACCAAAAACATTTTCTCAGCTATATTATATCTTTGTGAATTCTAGAACCTTGCTTTTGCAATAAGTTATATGTATTTAAGTGACTCTTTTTAGGTTCAACTTAGTAATTAAGTCTAACTACAAAGTTTTAAACAAACTAAATACTAGAATCAGTTGTAGCTTATGGTCTAGTAAAATGCAGCAAATAGTCCTTATACTGATGGGAAAGATATAATATTGTTGTGAGGATATTAATGGTCAAGAAAAGCACATATAAATGGGGAAAGCAAGAGAGTGTAATTCTATTTTATATGAAGATAAATGCATGCTGTCTGTGGAAAATAAAATATGCTAATTGTGTAAATAGCTCAACAAATTTTCAAATTGTAAAGTGAGTAAAATGATGGATATACAGAGAGTACATTGTTGACTCAAATTTATAAAAGGAACACAATTCATTTTGTTTCTCCAGTTTTCTAAGGAAGTTTAATTCTTTCTTGTAAAATAATATTATTAAAAAATACTTCATAATCTTTCTTTGCCAAAGAAATATATTTTGTTTACATGATCACATTTCATTGTTTTTTGTTTTACCCTCTTCATTTCATACAATTTATTTCCTCTAGATTGAATGATTGCTTGATCAATAGATAATTTGGTACAAGGATAGTGATAAATCCTTACATAGCATAAAAATTAAAAATTCCACTAAAAACAACTACTTAAAAAATTTCATCATCTGCTTATAAAATAACATACGTTTGCCATATTATTCTATAAGCAGGTTTTTAAATTCTTATTTTAAAATAAATTTGCACTAGAGATATTGTATCAAGAATTAGTTTATATACTATTTAATGTATATAATTTTAATATACACAAATGTATATTTTATACAAGAAAGATGTGATTTTCTAATCAAAACCAAAATTCTAATATTTTAATATGCAAAGAAAGCTAAGATACAGTCTTATTTGTTCTGAATTAGTTTTAGACCCTTAAACTATTTTCTCAGAGTATTAGATTAACGTAATAGGAGTTGCAAAGTACAACAAATCTGGGGTACCACCTACCCCAGATTATCAGAATTATTAGGTGGTCTCTATATTTTGGTGAACGTTATTTCCTCTTGTTTGTAAATGTGTCTGGGGAACATAACAAATCTATTTCATCAGGTACTTTCAGTTGAATGACATTCATGTGTCAACCAGGATGAAGTCTTATAGGACATTGAAATTATAATATTTCTCTTTTTTCACTATTACGATGTAGTTATTTTTTTTAAAGCTTACGTTACATTGACTTTTACATTTTTATTTTATTTATTACATCATTCTTGATTTTTGTACAATGTATGCTTTTTCTTATCAGTTATAATCCCCATGAAATTCCCAGCACCAATTCACTTGTGCATCATCACCACAGTCCCTTGTATTCTTCCACTCCCCTCTCTCACCCTGGCAGAATGTCTCTGGTTTATAGCTGCTTGTTGATTTTGATTTTTACTTTATTATAATTACTTCTTTATCATATTTTTTTAAAGGTTGAATTATGCTATACAGCTGAAAGTTTAGGAGAATGCTGAAAAAAGATGTTGAAATTACCCCAACATGTCTTCTTGCTTAGGGGCAAAAAATTTTAGCTTAGGTCTCTGGTTACTGAAATGTTGAAAAAGGTCACTGTTTGTTTAACCATTGCTATAATACTACTTTCCAGCATCTTGCTTGATTTTCTTTAGTGGAGAGACCATATTGACTGTATTCGTAATCACAACCTGATTAAGTGTATTGTTGTTTGCCAAGATTAATTTGTGTTCTACACAGACCAAGCAGGTAATTTAAATTTGCCTGTGTTTGTAACCTCTACTCTTTATTCAACCATTTTTTTTATGGCAACACTAATTGCTACATTTCTCCAGGGTAACGATAAAGATTTGTGTTTATGCTTTGTAGAAGGAGATACTTCAGTTTGACCATTACTACATTTTTATAGTTTTTAATTGATG